GATCATTGGCATCATACATGTAATATACGTGAATGTTGCAGTACAACTAGTTAGTATTTGTTGATCAAGTTTGACAATGTAATTTGTTTCATTGAAACAAATACCATATAATCGTATTTCGTAGCCACCTTCTGGTGGACCCCGAAATGGTGCAACTTGTAGTCCATCAGGTGTATTACATTCAACATCAGCAATATCACCACTAATTGAAAATATAAATCGACCGGGAAATTGAATATTTGAATTGTCGACAAGTTGGACTACTTGTGGTGTAAATGATTTGTCAATGAGAAAATAATTTTTCATGTCGCCAGCATTGAATCCAGCCTGGGCATGAACAGATGATGACGCTGAACCAACCGTCCATTGTAGCTTATCGTAGTTATAAATAGAAAATGAGTTTATTCCATTTGTAGTTATAATTGCTTGAAACGTATTGCGATACAGCGAAGATAGACCATAACCAGGTACTTCATACCATGTAACAACATAAGCCCAGATGAATCGATGTGTAGCTTGTCCAGGAAACGCATTTGCCACAATTTGGTCAAGTTCACTCAGAGTTGATTGATCTGTAATTTGACGATAGAAAATATTGCCGGTTGAGTCATCTCTTGTGAGAACATCAGCCCAAAATGGTGCAACGCAAATGATCCCATCAACAGGAAAACGTCTTGGTGTATAACTAAGACTCTGATAGGATTGATTGCCAAATAAAATCATACCGTTGATTTGAATTTTGATTTCATCATATTTATGATTGAAGAATGGAAAACGTATAGGAATATTTATTGGATCAGAGATTTGATCATCACCACGAACCAACGTTGCATCACCATGTTCAGGACCAAATGGAATCAATTTCCTTCGTGCAATGTTTGCTGTTGTTGTCTGACTGTGTACAGTCTCAATAAATAATATAAGCATTAACAGGAGAAATCCGTTCATTTTTGTCATACTGAAAAGAAATTGTGCACTTTTCTATAACCTTTCTGAAAGAATTGCCGTTCTTATATACAGAAGTTATTACGAAATATTTATTACATTTGATACAAAAATAGTGGTAAGAAAGTTTATCGCACACTTGTATTATTCTCTTAATAGCTGGAGACTTTATCGCGCTTTTGTGCAAGAATACTATTCCGACGAAAATGATTTGTTATCTCGTTTTACTAGATATAAGCAAAGCAAGATATAACTATTCTTTCTACCAGCCGTGCTGTTTCATCTTAGTAATAATTGAAAAATATTTACTTTTCCCCCACTTTATATCTCTCCCAGATATGTCCATCAGAGTGGGTGGCAAATCTCAGATTGGTACAAATTTTGAAATCGGCATGCCAAAATGATTTAAAACTTTACTTCCTCAAAAATTTTGAAAATTGACTGGCGATTTCATATAGATTGAGTAGAAATCAGAAATTTACTCACATTCTATATATCCTAAGATATTATCAGAAAAGCAGAAATCAGAAATCTAGTCATACTATATATTTCTAGGATATTACCAGAAATCAGAAATCATGAAGGCACAATCCTTTGAGGCAACCGACAGGGTGAGAATAGAAGTGAAACCCTTTGAGGGAGCAACATACTGGGCTTGAAGGAATAACCTTCTAGAAAAGCAACAGGGTGAGAAGAAAGGGGCAACCCTTTGAGAGGAGGAGCAGACACTCACTAGTCTTTTCGTAATACGGGTGTGGGTGTGGATGTGGGAGGGTTGTGGGTGTAGGTGTGGGTGTTTTAAGAAAAGAACAAAACCCACATCCTATAATCCTAAATTGATAGTTGTTAGTAAGTTAGACCTGGTAGGCGAGCCGGAATTTACGTTTTGTTGTCTATTTCTCGACATTTTACCTTCACACATAAATCCTTTAAAAGTAACAAAACTCCCCTCTTATCATTAACAGATAAGACATTCTTCTGATGGGCAGACAAACATACAAATTTTTTCTCTGAAAGTTAAAACAAGATACGTTTGTAAATATTTACTCACACACTAAATTTAAGTGCGTCGTGTTTATGTGTTGTGAATTATTGTGTCGTGCACTCCAGCAAAAAAATGTGTCGTATACGAATTTGTTGCGTTCTTTCTGCTGACTATTCGTTAGGTGCGGATGAGCGTGGATCT